AGAACGAGGTTAGATTGGTTTAAGTTATTCTCAAAAATGAATAACTCAAAACAATTGGTCGGTGGATAGGGTTTCTGGAAAGGTTGAATAGAATTTATGATGTAGATTTCGGGTGTGCTTTCAGAATGGGTTGAAAACCATAGGGTGGAGTATATGCATGTGAGATGCGGGGTTAGCCACTGCTTGCTTATATGGGGGATTATATAGGGGACTACTATAGGGGTTATTAAGGGGGATACTAGGTTTTAGACTATAGCATATATATATATATGTATCTGTGTGTGTGTCTGTATGCATGTATATGTATATGGATTATATAGGGGTTAAGGGATATTGTATTGTGGTATCTTCAGAATATGTGTATGTAGACTTGGAGGGTCATGGGGACTTAGTAAGCAGGTTTTCAATGGCGATAATGGGGGTCGTCATATGACGTGTAGGGGTTATTAACCTACTTATTAAGTCCCCATGGATAATGGAAAAGCAAATAGAAACTACTAATAAGGGTTTAGGGTTTAGGACTACAGTTGTAGGAGTATAATCCCCAATAATCGAGAATCAGATCGAAACGAGCACGAAAAATGAAATGGCCAATGGGTTTATATCGGGATAGAGATATTTGGGTTTTCTAGGCGTTATAGGGTATGTAGGGGACATGGAAGAGAAAATGGAAGCTGCTGTTCAGGGCTTATCTTCAGTCAAATTCCCAGTGTTTTTGATACTTTAAGTAGTTGGTGAATGAGAGTACAGAAGCATAACACGTGGTTCTAGTCCAGTACATGAGCATGCAGGGATGTAATGGTACATGCACGAGGAGAACTGAACGTGAGAGGAGAACTGAAAGTCGGCCCTGTCGCACCCCTTCAGCGCATGGCAACGCGCAGAAGTAAAAACAAACTGGACCAGCAGCAACATTAGCTGCTTTCAACCCTTGTGAAATATCGTATGCTGTTGCCTTCCCGACGAACCCATCGTCTAATCTCGTCTACTCATTCAGGTTTCTGTAGAACGGTGCAGCCAGTGAGTTTGTTTAGGAGCCGGACAGCCACTGCAGCGTGGTGCTGCTCAGCAACTTTGGGGAGACGGAGTGGGAGTTGGCCTTTGCCACCCTGCAGGTGGGGTTTCAGGCAAAGCGCTAGGGGAGTAGGGGTGTAGACGTGCTTGAGATTCAGGGCCTGCGGATTTGAGAGGATATGGTTTTAATTCGGAACGAGTGTTTTTTGTTTTTCTTTTTTGCTCCGCGTGTTTTGTTGTTCTGCGTGTTTTTTCTGTTTTTTGTTCTGCGTGTTTTCTGGTCTCCTCTATAAAACCTTTATAAAGCTAAGATTCTGCTT